GTTACATTTATTTCCCCTCTTGATATGGTCCCTTTAAGAACTGATGCACAATCCAATGAGCAAAAATGACATTTTTGCATAGCAAAGCCCGAGTCATGAATCAAATTCCTACACTGAATTTGGCATGCGTTGCTGGTTTGCCAAAGAAGGACGGCAAAAAGTATGACTAAACACTTTTCGAGGAAGAGGGTTAAATGTGACACTGAGTTTGAGAGTCTTTGTGTAAAGAGCGATCAAAGAGCAAGTTTACTGGATTCCCAAACAAACTGATGTTATGCATGATAAAAAAGGGTAAATCACCTCAACTGGGTAGAATACCTCTAGCCTCCTGAACAGGGATGGAGAGCAAAAAACTGGTGTGTGAGAGAAGATGAAAGCAAAAGTGTCACCTTCAAGCTTCTTAATGAAGTGCTTAGCTACACAGCTCTTTGATCGTTTCCCTGTCCTAACTGTACTGTACAGACCTAGCCTTTCTTGCATCCAGGTAGCACAAAATCCAGCTCTATAGGGATGGTAAATAATTTACGTTTTAGACCATTTTTAAAATTTACATTCAGGATTCATGAAAATTGAAAGCTGGACACCCCTTAAGACTCAAAGTCTTGCTTAATCCACAGATCAAGTACAATATAGATAAAGCAGTGAAATCTTGTCACACTGCCCTGCTAGCATACCTCAATCTGTCCTCAGTTTCTTTACCAAGAGTGCTTACATGATTGACTTCTTATTTCACCACATTTTCTAATCTGCTGGAAGAAAGTTGTTAACATTTACAGAACCACCACAATTAATGGGAGGACTATTGGGAATGGAAAGATGAGCAGAATGTACCAGATAATAATTAAACAAGGGAACACATATTATGGTTTTGCTGTTTCAGCCCAAACTACCTGAAGATTGCCTATGATCATTAATAAGTAACACCATTTCCATTAAAGGAAAATGGCAATGTAATATAAAGGATTTTATGATTTCATGACGTTATATTATATATTTGACATTACATTATATATGATCAATCTAATTACAAACAGCACGAAAGTATTAAATCAACTGCTTGAAATATCATAAAAACAATCAACCACATAACAAGAATCTGTCTCTGACTAGCTCTTGGTGCTAACTTCTACTAGCCATCTCTTTAATAAAGGAGTGTCATCACTGTACTGGTTGCATCTACACGAGATGCTAAACACGCAGTAGGCCAATTCTACAGCACATTAGCGCGTCACAGTAAAAGCCATGCTATTGCGCTAAGCTGCAGTAGTCTACTGAGCATTAGTGTCACTAAAAAGGTGTGCACTGGTGCTACTGGGCAGTAGCGCTGATTACTGTGCATCTGTTATTACAGGTACTAAACTTAATGTGTAATAACTAGACAAATTAATGCATGTCTAGATGTGCCCACTCTGTATTCATTCATCCTTTCTCCATGTCCTTGCTGGAAGTTTATTTTCCCTGCATTATCTCATAGGCAATCCAGATTGTTAAGGTTCCTGGGGCACAGAGTGCATCTTCAGTCTCTACAGAAGATGTTGTATTTATTTGTGGCATCATATAAAGAAGTTAAGCAATAATGAGAGATGTAGAAGTCCTTTCATTTAATTGTTGCTCTTGTCCTTTCACTTAATCTTCAGAAAGAATTTCTACTCTTCCTTCACTGTTGTGGAAGAGCCCAGAAGTAACAGCATGCGTGATCAGCTGAAATAGTGGGCAAGGGGCAACAAAGCGGAAAACATTTTCAACAGCAGCAATTGTTTTAACTTTGAGATGTTGCTAGGGCTCTTCACTTTTGGGACCAATTCCAGAGAGACTTCAGCACTACTTGAAGGCTTTATTTAAAAGAAGCTAAATAAAGACCTGCATATATTGCTGCTGTAAGTCCATAAGGCAACTAAAAGTTTCTATCAGCATCTATAAAGATTACTTGGTCACTCCAAGAAAGAGTCCAGAATACACATGCAAAGATATAACAAAGCCCTAAAGCTGTGGAAATGAAAACTCGCTGGAAGCAACTTTTCACCACATACTCTGAGGCTCCATCCATATCAAAGATGTGTGTGCACATTCTCATATTTACAGGGAAATGTGCTACTATTCTTAGACAGGCAAGACAGGTCGTTTTTCCAAGTCGCTTGCATGACAAAATCCCATTTCTAAGATTACAACCGAGTTTACAACCCTTTCAGGGACAGCCACTTGATGATCCAGCATTAAATTCAAATACAATTACACCATTTCAAAACTATACACTGCAATACAGGAAAGCAAATGAATAGCAACAGAAACTATACATCAATTCAACATACAACTGGAGAGTTAAAAATAAATGCATTCCATTTTCCATGTTTTATCTCTTGGACAAATTCAGGGCCTCAATTCTTGGGAGCTGAGAAATTTCCAGCTTCCTTGATCCCAAAGGGCAGTTTAATCAAAAAGATTTTAGAAACTGTTTCTTTCAGATCTGAATTGGTGTCTATGTTTAAAATGTTTAGGAACAACTTTTCCCCGGCCTTCCTAAACATAGTTTATTGAAGCAAACAAAGATTAGGTACTATGACTATCGTAATTCTGATAGCATCCATTCCTGGTTGTCCTTTATTCATCTATAGCTTGACTTTTGCAGACAATCTTCTGGCTCTTAACCTGTGTAAGATACTGTTTAGTATAAAGCACAATAAGTATTTCCATTTTGGACTCCTATTCACCAGAATTCAGAAATATCCAAACATCTCAAACTGAGTAGACATTAGCACGGCTCATTTTCCCTTGCAATTCTTTACATTCACATATACTTTCCGCTAACTTGCATGTTGAGAAATAAATGGGATAAGATGCTTTACAATGAACCAGAATTAGTGACCTATTCACGTGAACTAGAATTAATGTATCGATGTGTATTGGAAGTAATGAACAGATTTAGACTTAGAAAGGAATTTTCTGATGAAGATTACCATTTAAAACTTTAGGAATAGTGAGTTTCATTTGACTCTGGATTACTGAAAAGGATTCATTTGCCCTTATCAGCTAAACAGAGAACACCAAATTAATTGTTTATTTGCAGAAAAACATTGGGTTTCAAGGAAAAACTACTGTCACCACTTTGGGGTTATTTTTTGCCTTTCTACCAACACACTTTTGAGTGATTTTGTATTCTTTTTTTATATTCCCAAGACCTGACACATCCTACAGGGGTCAGATTTTCTGATATTACAAAACACCTAACTGTCTGGAAAAGAAAAAAAGAAAGAAAGAAAGAAAAAAAAAAATCAAACTCTAATTGCATTTTCAGTTAGACAAACAAGATCACTTGGTCCCTGTAGAAAATCTCAGTTTTGGATGTTTTCATGGTACTTTAAAAGCAAGTTTGACCCTGTATTTAAACATTCATTGAGCCATTTTCCTTGCAACAGATTATACAGATTTGTATTGTTAGGACCTATGGCACGTTATAATAAAGTAGGCGGTATGGATGTTCTCCAATTTGCTCTACTAAAATATGCCTTTTCAACCATTAATTATATTGGTACTATTTTTTCTCCCCCTGTGCAGCTCAAAGATTAGTCATGACAAGTGTTTTTTTTCTCTTCAGAATGTAAAGGAAATCCATACCTTAATTAAAATAATAAAAAGATAATTACTACCTGAAAGTGACGAGGACTCAGAATGCCTCCCCATCAGCATTGTTTATCTCCCTCCCCACTTTTCCACCCAGTCCAGCAGGAATAGTTATTTAGCCACACTATAATCTGTCCATGCCAATTAAACTTGTTCAGCACCCTGGGGAACATACAATCTAACATTACAGAAAAGTTACTAATAACCTTTTCAGCGTTATAAACTGTTAGGACCTTTATATATTTAATAAAGAACAGCATTAATTACTTTAATCTGTCTTACCTCCTCTTTATCCTGCACTAATAATTTGTGAAAGTGCTTCCCAGTCTTCAACAGGGCACTTCCCATACACTTTCTGCCAGGCTTTTTCCTGCATGCCATAGCTCTGTATGTGAAACTGGGCAAGGGTTTTTCATAAGCTTCATAGAGCGCCATTTCCTTTTCCTGGCCTAAGAGATAAGAATGATGCCCAAATAAGTTTCAGAACATAGCGTCACCTGTAAATGTAGAGACAACAGGGACTATAAAAGCTATCGAGGAAATATGCATACAGGAAAGAATCCCAAATATAAACTGAATGAACCAAAACACCCAGTATTAGCATTCCCATAGCATTTCATACTTTGAGAACAATTTTCAAGTTTTTATTCCCAATCAGATCGTTATGTATACATATATGACTGATTCTGGTCAATTGAGCATAATTTTTTAGAATTTAGGCGCCACTTATTTTATTTAACTGCAGATCAATTTTTAAAAGCTGCCTGTAGAGCAGCCAACAAAGGCTTAAGCATAGCTGGGTGCTACAGAAGTGTCATGAGACCTGCAGTTTTACCCTTGGATGCACTCCAAGAACAGACTGTACAAATGATCCTCTGTGGCTTTGTTATTGTGAAGGTTTCTCTAAGCTTCCCACCCTGTTGTAGGGGTAATTTGTATTTAATAAAACACACAACACTTACATTGACTTTCCAATTGAGATAACAATAAAAATAATTGCACTTATGAAGTCATATGATTACAGATGGAAAAAGTAGGAAAATATATGAAGTGAATTGCCTGACACGTCCCTGTCTGCAAACAGACTTTTTGATAATTCTCTTACTATTGGTTTAACAATACAACATGCCCCATGGGTAAGTAAGCAGTGGATGTACTAATAGTTTTTAACACTGTAAGACATTCACAACTGCTAGCACTATTTTAGACCCCTTTATACAAGACCGGTGAGTGGAGAGTCAGTTAAGATTTTCAGTTTGGGAGCCACAAGGCAGCAGTGACAGTCTGATCTAGAGCTGCTACCCAAGAGTCTTTAAACTGTCTCCACATTCATTAGATCACATTGTTGCTATTAAAAAAAAGACCAACACAGACACACAGAGTAGCATATTGTCCTTTTATGTAAAATATTCATTTTATCAAAAAGAAAGGAATTCCCAAACATCTCTAGAAGGTCTGATTAAAAGACACAAGATAAAATCCTTCACTTAAACTGGGGTGGGGGGGATGTTAATTTGCTATTTTTCCCCTGTCTTGTCCATGCTACGTAAGACCTGCAGTGAAAAGATGCAACTCTAAACAACATAGCAGTAAACTGTTAAGACCTTTCTCCATTCTTACATACGGATCATTAATATTGAGGAAAAGTTGGATCAATTTTGGTAGCCCAAGCCATGAGCCCTCCTCGGATATCTTTAACCACTAAAGAACCAAATTCCTTGACAGACAACGCCTGCAAAATTTGCACAGCTTTCTGGGAGTCATTTCCTAACTTGCAGATGACATAGACAGGGAAAGCTGCTGTGCCATTAGCTCTCTGTTTTCCTTCACAGATTATTTTCCCTAAAGTTTCCAGACACTCTTCATTCTTTTCTTCCAATTTACTCAAAGGGACGTGGAGGGCATGTGCCAGGCTACAGATCTCCACTTCTACTTGGGGACGAACATCAATTAGGACATGAGGGGCTTGCTCCTTCAGCAGCTTTTTGTACTCCTCCACAGAGATCCTGTCGTCACTGGGCAACAGGCTTAGAGTTCGACAGTTGTCTGTGGCGGATGAGCCACAAAAGGCTTCATAATCCTGCAGGGCAGTGATGGTGGGATGGTCCCCGCACACGGCGCAGTCCCGTTTCTTCGGTCTCAACTTGATGTTGCGGAATCGGCCTTCCAGGGCATCGAAGACCAGCATGCACTGGCTGAAGGAGGAGCCTATTCCTGCCGCGATCTTCAGCACCTCCAGGGCCTGGAGACAGCCCAGGATGCCCGGCACCACGCCCAGCACCCCGCCATCGGCGCAGTTGGTCACCGTCTCCGGCGGGGGCGGCGTGGGGAAGAGACAGCGGTAACAGGGCCCCCCCTCGTGGTTGTACACGACCAGCTGCCCCTCCAGGCGCAGGGCGCTGGC